TTCCTTCAACCTTGCTACACTTCTTCCAAGCCCTTTTTCACCAAAATAAACTCAAGAGGTCAAGAACACAAAGCAAAGGAGTAAGGGATGAACTAGGGTTTTCTGGGAGTGAGGGATAGGTGAGGAGGCCAAATGGGACGCTATAATGGGGTTTATATATGTCTTAAACCCTGAAAATTAGGGTTTGACATATGCTCGCGTTCGTTGGGCGTACCTCATGGTACGCTGCGCGTACGCCCCCAAGTTCCGCGCATCCAATGTGATTACTACGCCCCTCATACGACTTATGGGCAACCCACTCCTTGGTCCAATCCTCAAAGGTCCATTCCAAAAGGGGCCATTGCCCAACATTAGTTCAAAACCAATATTAATTTGCATAATAAGTTAATACCTCGAGAGACAGATGTTACATATGAGCTTCATAGTTCACATATACACTGAAAATGTCATTTTAAGGGTAATGTTTCCAACTTTGGATCCAATAATTGTAATATCCCAAAAACCATGCCAAATGTAAAAAAGACAAATTTGTCCTTGATGACTTACACATGTTGCGCAAGCTGTAATAAACTATAATTAAAAAGGATAAAAATAAATAAAACAAGAATATGCATGATGACTAATTATAAATGAAATAAAATATGCCAAAAAACTATAAAAAGAACCAAATAAACGCACATATCAATGCATACCTATCCAAAATTAATCTAATAGAATTTAATTTTCGAGATTCCTCATTGTAAGATTTCTTTTTACGTAATTTGTCTCATATAGTCATTTTGTTAATATATATATGTATATTATGAATTATAGATAGATCGTAGTTATTGGATGTACGGGATGATACGTTCAGACGTTAGATACTTGGCATGTTTAGGCGATTTTCTAAAAGTTGTTGAGGAAAATCGGGTGAAAAGGGGAGAAAGTTACATATGGTGTCCTTGTATCGATTGTCAAAATATTCGTATGTATACCGACTCTACAAAAATAGAAGAACATTTGATAACTCATGGGTTTATGAGTAATTATATGTGTTGGTCACGACATGGTGAGACATTGGTTGATCAGAACACGGGTTTTTCAGAAACTAATGACGAAAATGACTGGAAAGGAGATCATGGTTGGAGTAACGATCATGATAATATATTTGATATGTTACATGATTGTGAGGATAATGTTGCTGAAAAAGATTATGACAAATTTCAACAATTGTTTGACGATTCAGAAAAACCATTGTATAATGGGTGTACAAAATTTACCAAACTTTCAGCTATGTTGAAATTGTTTAACATAAAAGCAACCCATGGGTGGAGTGATACAAGCTTCACCAGTCTCCTAGAGATTTTGCATGAAATGCTTCCCGAAGATAACGAGCTACCAGTTTCATTATACCAAGCGAAAAAACTGATTTGTCCAATGGGATTGGAAATCGAAAGAATACATGCATGTCCAAATGATTGTATGTTATATAGGAACCAACATGCGAACCTAGATAAATGTATTATATGCAGTACTTCACGATATAAGCGGAAAGATCGTATTGAAGAAAATGTAAAAGTGACAAAAAATGGTCCGCCTGCGAAAGTATTATGGTATTTTCCAATCATACCAAGATTGAAACGGTTATTTGCAAATGCCAAAGATGCAAAATTGTTGAGATGGCATGCTGAGCGTAACATAGACGAGAACATAAGACATGTGGCTGATTCTCCTCAATGGAGGAATATTGATAATAATTTTGAAGAATTTGGTCGATAGATTAGAAATATTCGATTCGGACTTAGTTCTGATGGAATTAATCCATTTGGAAGCCTTAGCAGTCGTCACAGTACATGGCCGGTACTTCTTTGCATCTATAATCTCCCACCTTGGCTATGCATGAAGCAGAAATATATTATGATGTCATTGCTAATTCAAGGTCCAAAACAACCTGGAAATGACATTGATGTGTATTTGGCTCCATTAATAGACGATATGAAAATATTATGGAATTCAGGCGTTGAAGTGTATGATGCATATACAGGGCATAATTTCCACCTTAGGGCCATATTTTTTGCACAATAAGTGATTTTCCAGCATACGGAAATTTATCAGGATATAGTACAAAAGGGAAAAAGGCGTGCCCTATTTGTGAAAATGACACAGATTCTTTATGGTTAAAAAACTGTAAGAAAACTGTATACATGGGTCATCAAAGATTTCTTCCAGATAATCACCAATATCGTAAGGAAAAAAAAGTCTTTAATGGTAGAATTGAGAAAAGAAAGGCAAGAAAACCCTTAGGTGGAGAAGTTTTATTTTCCCGACTTGAAAATATAAACATTGTGTTCGGAAAAGTAAAAGGTAAAAGTAGATCTGTTACCAAAAATATTTGGAAGAAAAAGTCTATATTTTCGGATTTACCATACTGGAAGCACTTACAAGTCCGACATTGTCTTGATATCATGCATATAGAGAAAAATGTTTGTGAAAGCTTGTTAGGGTTGTTGTTGAACCTTAAATGGAAGTCTAAGGATGGGGCTAGCGTTCGAAGAGACATGCTAGCAATGGGAATTAGACCCGAGCTTGCTCCAATTGAGAATGTTGGGAAGCGTATGTATTTGCCTCCAGCATGTTATACCATGTCTAAGGATGAAAAAACAAAATTTTGCCAATGCTTGCATAATATGAAGGTCCCGTCTGGCTATTCGGCTAACATTAAGAAGTTGGTGTCGATGGACGAATTAAAATTGGTTGGCATGAAATCCCATGATTGTCATGTTTTGGTGACACATATGATTCCCATTGCAATTCGTGGAATACTTCCAGACCGTATTCGACACACGATCACAAAGCTTTGTCTATTTTTTAACATGATTCATTCAAAAGTTATTAACCCCGAGGCGTTGGATTCATGGCAAAGTGATATTATAATGACTTTATGCCAGCTCGAGATGTACTTTCCACCTTCTTTTTTTTTGATATAATGGTTCATCTGATATCTCATATTGTATATGAAATAAAGGTTTGTGGTCCAGTTTTCCTACGATATATGTATCCATTCGAGAGATATATGAGTGTCTTAAAAGGGTATGTAAGGAACCAACATCGACCAGAAGGTAGTATTGTTGAAGGAGGCGATTGAATTCTGTACAGACTATCTTCAAGGTGTCAAGAATATTGGCATTCCGAGATCTCAACACGCGGGTAGACTTGTAGGGATCGGGACAATTGGATTGAAAAGACTCGTCCCAGACCGTGAGGAATTTCAGCTTGCACATTTTACAGTGTTACAACACATGACAGTCATTGCTCCATACATAAATGAGCACAAAAGAGTACTACAGATGATGCACAGAAATAAGGGTGAAAGATGGTTGACTACCGAGCATAACAAAACTTTTGCAAAATGGCTGAAAAATAAAGTGAAAACAAATTATTGTGAAGAAGGTATGGATGAAGTAGTAGTACAATTGGGAAATGGTCCGCAACATCTTGTGGCAACGTACCAAGGCTACGATATTAACAGCTATACATTTTACACCAATTGACAAGATGGGAAAAGTACATTTCAAAACAGTGGTGTGACGTTAATAGCCTCTACGATGGAATTTAGCGGGGCTGATCAAGATGCAAGGTGCAGGATCGCCAAAGACTCTTACTATGGTGTCATTCAAGAAATTTGAGAATTGAAATATGATTCCATCATTATACCCTTATTCAAGTGCAGATGGGTCGACAACCAACAAGGTGTTAAAGTTGACAACGATGGTTTCACTATTGTCGACCTTTCAACAAATGGCTATGTATCTGAGCCATTCATTTTAGCCAAACAAGCCACCCAAGTATTTTTTGTCGAGGATCCAAAGGATTCGGGATGACACATCGTCTTGCATGGTAAACGGCGTATACTTGGTGTTGATAATGTCACAAATGAAGAAGATTATGATCATTTTGACGAGCTACCTCCGTTTTCCATTGGTATCCCTTCGTCGAATGATAATATTGATGATACCACTTACTTAAGATCTGACCACGACGAAGGATTATGGGAATGATGACACAATATTAAAAGGTACCAACCAAGTTATTTGGTTTGAAACAAACAAAATTCAATGAAAATTTTCCATTATGATCAACGTATTAATATAGTTTGTTTTATTGCAGGTCGGACAACTACGAGATAACAGGATTGACAGGATGCACTGCTTATTGGATTTGTTTGTAGAAATTTGAAATTAGTTAGGCTTTCCAGTTTTATTGTTTAGGTCCAAAAAACCCTTTTAAATTTGGTTTGTATTGAAATATTTTTATGAAATATGGTTGTTCTTAAGTTCCGAATTAAACCATCTTCAACAACAAAATAAATTCATTATTAACCTCTAAGTGGAATATTCTTAAATTAATTTTTTTAATAAAATCACGATAACAACAGTTATAACTAGAAATTATTGTTATTATATTTCATTATATTAAAATTTTTAAATATAATTATATGACATAAATAATAAATAATACCCCAATATATGTGGCTGTTGAAAAAATAATAATAATAATAATACCCCAATAAAGGGACTTTTGGAATTGAAAAGTGTAAAAAAAAAAAAAAATCCGTAATTAACAAATCTTATGTTGATTTAGTCAAATTTAATATTAACTTTACGCAAAAGGGTATATAATCACATGGATATTAGTAAAAAAAAAGTTTATACCAATCGAAATTAATCGTATACATTAACCATGGGGAATTAAAAAACAAGATTATATTAATTGGAAATTAACCTTATGTAGTTATATGTTACCATTTTCCATCGCAGGTTATAATTAACCAAAGTTTTGTTTCCATAATGCAAATTAACCTTAATTATTTATTTTTAAACAAATTAGTTTCTACCCAATCAACCACGTTGTGTAATGGATAAAATTACCGCCATTAATTTTCGATATCCCGCCATTTGACCCCATTATGCGGTTTTGAAGCTCCTGTAAAATTCAAAACCACCAAGTTATACTCACAAACAATGTTAATACTTAGCTTCATCACCACGATAGCCAATAAACTATTGAGGTATACAATGGATGATCAACCACAACAACCACCGCCACCGCCACCACAAGAGAGAAAAAAGAGAATAGCCACACAACTAATTGACAGTCAAGAGCCACAAGAAATTGATTTCAATCATTTTGGTCTGCATTATGGGGATAAACAAATTAAGTTCGCCAATGAGTGTGGAGTCCTCACGCGATCGATGATTTCTATCAATTATCAAACATGGAAGAAAGTGCCGCAGGGTGAACTTGAGATGCTGTGGTTAACTATTAAAGTATGATATCTAAGACCTATTATATGTGTTTTCATTTAGTCAAAATATGTTATTAACAGTTAAAATCTTTGCTTTGAGATAAACAGAGACGCTGGAATATTCAAAATAACAAACGCAGAGGTGATGTGCTTAAAATTTGTAACACTGCATGGAAATCCTACAAGAAGAGGCTAATACGTGATTTCATAGCCAATGGAAGAGATCCAATTCCAATCTACCCATATCTAGACCCTGATACATGGAAAACCTTCAAAAAAGAGAGATCTTCAAAGGAATTTCAGGTTTGTTGGACTTTAGTTCATCTAGTTCTTTCCATGTTTTAATTGTGTTACCTCTGTTTGTTTGTAGGTAATTAGTGAGAAAGCGAGAGCAAATGCGAAGCTTCAAAAAAATCCAGCACGGTTAGGTCCACATGGGTATCGGGGTAGACAAGCTCAATGGGAACAAGAGATTGCATCCGAAGGGTTGTCGGAAGAGTTAGCATCAGAATTGTGCAAGATAAAAAGCCAGCGTTCAAAAGATTTTGTCATGGGTAGGCTATCTAAAAATGAGTCTGGATCATATTATGCACCACTCGGCATGCAAGCAACAGTGACTAAGCTTGTAAGATAATTTTTCATTTTAAATTTTGTTATCATTTCTATTGTAATAATTGAATTCCAGTACATTAAGAAATCATGGTAAGATAAAAGTAAACTAACCATCAAATATAGAACTCTAGATCAATGGGAATTATCTATCTCTCAACTAACAACTTAAGCATACATCAATGTTTTGTACTGGTAATTCCTAGATATCTTTGTTCCATTCAAATGTTGATGTTGGATTTTATTCTAATAATCGCATTGCCTATGTTAACAGGCAGAGGTCGAAAGTCAGATATCCCGAGGAGATTGGGTCCCTGAACCTGGAGAAGATTCGTTGACAGCAGTGTTAGGAAGAGAGCATCCCGGTCGGACTAGGGCAGTTGGTCACACTGTTGGCTTGAGAAAAGCCATGCACGGGATAGATAAAAAGAAGAGGAAAATGCACGCCAAAGAATCTATGGATGAGTTGCGCGCCAAGTTGGACGACGTTACAAAACAAGTGTCAGAGTTAAAGGCAGTGATACATGACTCATGGAAGCAAGTCACGGACAATGTGAGCCTGAAAGTTCATAATAGTAGTTCTGACTCGATGCCAACCTTGGCTACTATAACGGTAATTGTGTATACCTCTTTGCAAGAGCTTAAATCTTGATAATGTATTTTAATTTTGAATTAGTTATTTAAAATTTGAGTTATTTATATACAAAACCTACTTGCAGAACCCCACTCAGTGTAAATTGGTGTTACCATATGGAGCACTGGATCAGAATTGTGCTACTGGCTTGGTCTTTCCGTATGGGGATAGGTTAATACACTCACTCCCTTTGCGTGAAAATCACATGAAAGTGTTAATAGACCAAATCAACAAAGACTTTCAAAGTCTTCCTATTCTTGTAGTGACTGATGAAGTCAGTAATCTTCAAAATGCAGTTGGCCAAATAATTCAATGGCCACGAAATGCTATTATTCTGACTCAGGTACATATTTTTTATCCTTGATTTTTTAGTTACTATGTATATGCATAATTTATTTCCAATGTGTTTAATGAAAATGGTTTGTGGATATAGATTCAAGGAAGAAAGCAACAAAATTCGACTCCAAGTTTGCCACAAACCAGTGTAGGGGGTTGTACAAGAAAGAACACACTCACTCCAATGAACAAATCGAAGCCAATTGAATTACTACGTGAGCGATTGAAGAACAACCCACTAATTCATGTTGTAGCTGATGATGGCATTCTAGAAACTGACAAGTTTGAGTTTTGGGTAGCACATGATGAAATTCTTCAATTGTTGAACAAAAGAACACTTGATGTTACCATTCTAACCGTTTGGGAGATGTAAGTACACTTAACTTTATTATTATTAGTTGCTCCAATCTTTTGTTTGTAGGTTGTTTGTAGATATTATATGCTTGTAACACATTTTGTCTTATTTTTAGGAATCTACATTCCATTGCATGTGTGAAGAACAAATGTTCTTTCCTAAACCCACATAAGATTCTTGGGGAAAGTTGCCAAGAAAACCCGGAAGCTGTCATAAATTACATTGTTGATGTGATGCGGATTCAGCAAGGAAAACAATTTCTCATTGCTCCATATCTGCAAAGGTACTTTATGTTAATATATATAATCATTGTTAAACTTTCTCTATATTTATTGTTTATACTAATACTTCAAACATTACAAGTGAGCATTGGGTCTTGTTCGTGATTTGCCCTCATAATGGCACCGGGTACATATTGGATTCAATTAGGAGTCATGTACAAAAGCCTGTGGATACCTATTACCTACTGAAGAAATATGTTGACACGTAAGAAATTTCATAAACGTGACATTCTTTTCTATTATTTTTTATCACAACACTAATTTTTATTTTTCAGGGCTTTTGCAAGGTATGGGAAATACACATCAAATCCAATCAGTTGGACGCTCGCCGAGGTAATTCACGTCACTATACCTAAAAATATAGATTTTGTATTTCACTTTTTTGATTAGTGTATATTTGTGATTACAATTTAGTGCAAACAACAACCGGGCGATTGGGAATGCGGCTATTATGTAATGAAATGGATGATGGATTTTGTGATGGTTGAACAACACGGATTCTTGAGTAGAGTAAGTACTTAAATATATTTATGATTTTTGTATATGACTATAGACTCTATTTTTTTATATAACAATTGTAGTTTATATTTTTATATAGACGACTACACCTTGGAAGGACACCACTCCTTTTTCGAAAACCACCTTGTTTTCAATTGTTGTTAAGTGGGCAACGCAATTTCTGAACAAATATATGAAAGATGTGGTTTTCTAGAAAGACATATCGGTTAGTTTTTAATACTTACAGCATCGAACTTTTAGCTTAACCTTGACCAATGTGTTATAGACTAAGAATACCATATGTGCACATAATGTTGTAACCAGGTTCTTCTTTAATGTTTAGTTATGGCAAAACAAAAGGAACAATGGTGAAAGTTGGACTCGTTGTGATTGGAAGACTCACATTGACTGGAACCATCAATGTTGTTTTTTTTAATTGTTCAAGTTATATATATATATATATATATATATATATATATATATATATATATATATATATATATATATATATATATATATATATATATATATATATTTTCCAGCTGCAACAATTGCTTAACTAGTTAACTTATATTTGCATTACTGTTTGAACTTTATTATTGTTATGGGCAACTATTCAATTTAAATTTAATATTTCGTTTTATCTTGAATGTATCAAATATTTGCTTGCTCTTTAATGTGTGTATGTTGGCAAAATTTAATCTTATGTTAGCAACATTTGGATGCTTAGGGTGCCATGTGAAAGAAAATATGATTATTTATTGTGTATTAATTTTTTTTTTTTTGGAAAAGGGTAAAGGACCCCGTTGTTTATTATTATAGAACTGAGAGATATGTTGGTGGAAAATTGATTTTGGCTCGGTAAAAGACGCTCTTCTATGTATGGAGACCGGGTTTTATATTACAAATATGACCCGGTAGAAAACCGGGTTCTATATGTCTTTTCAAATATAACCCGGCCACAACAAACCCGGATGCAAAATCGGGTTTGATTAGGCTTTTTAACCGGGTCTTTTTGCTCTTTTTGTAGTATGCGACCAAATAATATTCTTATCACCCATGGTTTTGAGCCTCTGGTATATTTTTCTTTTAAATAAATACTTACTCATGTCAAATTTTAAAGTAGAAGAACTGTCTATATTTTTTTAATAATATGTATGGGATATTAGGTCGGCCAGGTGGCCACCGGATGGAGATATCGGAGAAGAAACAAGAGTAATTGGTACACTTGGGTTAGTGTTTATAATACTCTTTCTTGTGGTTTTTGATTTTTCCATTATATTTTTTTATTATATGGTTTAATGTATGACTTATTACATTACCATGGTTTTTTTTCAAGATATTTGGTTCCTGAGTATGCAGATGTATACTCGTTTGGGGTTGTATTATCGGAGCATGCATGTTACGAGGCACAAAGCAGTGGATATTAACCATGGTTAATGTTATAAAAACCCTCAAGTTTTCAAGGTTTTATCGGTTTTGCCTAAAGTTGAAATTTATGTTCGTTTTTACCCTAATATTTTCGAAGAAATGTTCGGTTTTACCCTTTTACTGGTGATAACAGGTTTTTCAGGTTATCATTATATTAAATTTAACAAAAAAAAACCCTTATGTTTACCATTTTTTACATTTTTACCCTTAAGTTTATAACTTTTTTTACACTTATACCCTAAGTATTTTTTTTAATAAAAAAATGTTTAATGAAATATTGTATTTTTTTTAATGTTATATATATATATATATATATATATATATATATATATATATATATATATATATATATATATATATATATATATATATATATATATATATATATATATATATATATATATACCTTAAATTGTTCACTAAGTTAAGATAATCAAACTAAAATCATAGCAATAACATGAACAAAGCAATAGGTACAAAACAATAAATGAGCATAATAACCGAAAAACCAAACCGTAACTGATATAACTAAATCGTTAAAACCGAACTATTGGTGAAAATAGTGTTGCAGGTGCAATTTGATTGTTTGTGTCTATTTTAGTGAGTTAGTGATATACAAAGTCATTTTATCAGGTGCAATTTGTTGTTAAAATATATATAGACAAGAGTTGTTGTTGAGCAAATCCAAATTACAACATGTATGTTGTAGAGTGAATTACAATAAGTAACTCTCGAAAATTGTTATAAAAAAACGGTTTCAAAAAAACATACTAGAAGGTTAATTAATTGCCTTCTCTTTTCAGTTTTTAGTTTTTAGTCTTCACAATTGCCTTTTCGTTTCTTATATATTTGTATTATGGCAATATTAAGTTATTCAATTATTCACTTTTCCAACAAAGTGACGAATAATGATGTTGATGATTTTGATGTATCTTTGTTTATTTCACGCCTTATGTGAACAAATGTTTCTTTTGATCATGATGCCTTGGTTAGTCCATGACTTATTTATTTATATATTCCATGTGTAGAAAGGTGGTAAATATGGTAATTTTTTTCTCAGATGATCTTCATTTTGTGGTATAATGCAAAGGGTAGAATATCAACTTCCGAACCTTATGGTTTGATTTATTACAGGATAAAAGATTCCTTCTTCAAATAGTATATGCCCAATCACACAAGAAGTTTTGGGAGCTTGGGTTTACGTTCACCCCACCTATCTCGAGTCTTCATTATTTACACAAACTGTTGCAGGAGTTGTTGCTATCATTTGGCCACCTCAGTTACTTCTATAAACTTAATGGAAAGTGCTAGATTGATACATCATAATTTTTTGTATAATGAAAGTATTGAATGTGGTTCAATTTGAATATTAGTACATTTATTCATTTATTGTATGAAATGGATTGTTCTATTATATATGTATTTTATTTTATATTATGATACATTAATTGTTATTTAATTTGAATATATATATATATATATATATATATATATATATATATATATATATATATATATATATATATATATATATATATATATACACCTCAAATTATGACACGCAAAAATGTGTGTCTGTCACACCCCCAAACCTGGATGGCGGAAACGTTCGGGGGCGGATGACTTCATTTTGTTGTATCATAACATTTGAATATGAATGAAACATAGCAATCAAACATCATACAACAAAAAGATACAAACATACATTCTTTAAGTGTTGTATTTGTTCATTAATTACACAAAAATGATAGAAACAACAATTAACCCCAAAATGTAGCAAATATCCAAGTTCATTGGTCCAAATACCTGCTCACTGAGTCCCTGAGAATACAAGTAGTTTTGAAAAGAATCAACATAGAATATTGGTGAGTTCATAAGCATGCTTGAATGAAAAAGCTTTGTAACATCTTTGTTTGTAATAATTTGTAAAACTCCAGAAAATCTGATATTTTCTGTGAAAACGGTTTATGAGTCTCGTTCTAAAATTGTGACTAATTACATGCATGTCTTTTGTTTTCTGTTGTTTGTAATTGTGAAAAATGCGTTCCCAGAAAATCCAACATATTCTATTGTATGAAAACTTGCAGCCTTAAACCCTAAGACTGGAGTGGTGACAAATAAGTACTGGAAAATGAAGTGTAGTTTTATATTTAATAAAACTAGTGAAGCGTATATTCCTCCATAAATCCAAAATAATGTTGTTAATCCCTATGTCAATCGTTACAACCATGCTTGATGCAGCTGATATGTCTATCATGCCATTCTTCAGGCGTCGGTTTAGGTAAGATATTTGTCACCCTAGACTAGCCCCGTCTAGCTGTAGCGAACAACTCAGATGTCGGTGTGTTAACCCCATATAGATCTATATACAGTTACCTCGCTCTTCCTCTAGGAGACTCTGGTTAGAACTACAGCTCTTACGGTGTACGCTAGGTAGGTACAGTGAAGGAAAGTCTCAAAAGTGCCTTAACAAATTTACACGAAATTTGACTCCTATTATTGAATAATGAAAATAACATTACTAGTGTCAACTCATGATGACAATTTTATGACACGCGTTTTACTGCTTTATGACATACAACTTATAACTTATTCTTTTAACAACTTTATGATGGACATATTATGACACGCAGATTTTTCTGGGGTGATAATTCTGTTTTGTATACCGCTTTGGTTAAATTATTTATAACACTTTTTGTAAATAATTATTAATGGACTTATCTACTTGTAATATATGTTGTGTAAGTAGCATAATCCTCCATGTTTTTAAAAGAATTAAAATGATGACAACATATTACGACTATTTCACTAGTAGAACTATTTTTTTTGTAAAATAATCAAGTTTTGTAGTTTGTGTAACACACCAAAAATTTCTTTAGGAGTTTTGTAACACAATATATACCATGTTGTTGTGACTCTAGCATGTCATGATTTTTACAAAACACAAATATGTTATTAACATACACTTTATGATTTTTAACACACATTAAGAACCTTTTTAGTTGAGAACTTGTTTCATCTTCAACCTATGACTATGATAAAAGTAATTATCCAAAGAATAAAGTTAATCTAGCAACATGAACCTTGTAAATCTCAATGGTGGGTTAACATGAAACAATCAACATTTCAACCACAATATTTAAGATGCATGCTATTATCCAAAGGTTAAACATATTACACACCGGTACATGCAATTATCCAATGGTTAAACAAGATTTGACCTGTATACCCCCCTCCTAAAAGAAAGAGTGCAAAACTCGAAAAATAGAGGGGTATGAAGCTCACCTTGGTTGATTTTCAAGATATAGAATAAGAAGAAGGAGGAGGAAATTTCGAGGCTAGCTTGTCTTGGAGACATCACTCGAAAATGGTGTTCTAAAGGCTTAACACACAACAAAATGAGTGTGTAAATGGAATGTTCTTAGCATAAAGATGTAATAAAACACGTTAAGTTTACCATGGACTTACCAAGAAGCCTAGGATCGATCTTTGATGATGACGATGCTCAAATTTTTTGAGAGAATAAGGAGGATGTTCTTGAGAGCTAAGGGAGGAAATTGAAGTTGTGAAGTGTGTGTGTGTGTGTGTGTGTCTGTCTGTGTGTGTGTGTGTGATCAGCCGCACATAAGGAAGAGACAAGGTTAATGGGATTTGCATGGTTGCATGGGGGTTAAAAGGCATGGGAGTATTTTGGGTAATAAGGAGGTAGGCAACTCCTTAATACCCATCCATTTTGTACTAACCGAACCCTAGGTTTCTCTGCCCAAAAGGGTGGCCCAAAAAGAGTGGTGTTCAGTTTTGACTTGGCCCAATAGGAGTGCCCTATAGACGTTTTCAGCCTAACAAGGCCCACTGAAGTGTTTTCGGCCCAATATTGGTTTTCGGCCCACTAATTCTCAATAAGAATTTTTCGGCCCAATAAGGCCCTAAGAAGTACTTTTGGCCCAATAGGGGTTTTGGGCCGAGAATTCTTGGGCTAAGGCCCAAAATTGATTGGACTTTACTATTACATCAAGTTTTGGACTTGCATGAGGCTATTTCAACTTGGTTCACAAATGTATGTACGTATAAACTTAAATGACATTGTAGTTTGGATTTCACTATCTTTATGAAATAGGGCTACATAAAAGAAATTTTTCATACAAGAAGTCTAATCTCAACCCTAATTTGCTGGTTGTGACAATGTCATCTTCCTTTATGACAGAGGATTCCTTGACCTGCAATATGTGTCGTGAGTGTGTGTCGTAAATTCTCGTCATAAGGTTACGACACGCAAATGTGTTTTGTCTTAGTTTATGAAAGGGGCATCCTTGACGTGCATTTTTGTGTTGTCTATACCTTTTATGACACTCAATACATGTTATTAAAGGATATTTTATAGTAGTGCTTGATTTTTGGGATGTTACACTTTTATCGATTTTGTCAAAAGAGAAGCTCAATAGTCAAAGCTATATGGATTGGATGAAAAATATGAAGACGACTCCCTGATATGAGAACAAGGAACATGTTCTCGAAAATCCTCTTGATGTAATCAATCAATCCATTGATACTTTGGAAGAAATTGCTACTTTTAAGAAGAATTTTGATGACGCCACGAAAATTTTTTACATTATGGTTGCTACCATGGTGCCAGAACTTTAGAAGTTCTTTGAGGATTATTGGCCCTTTGAGATATGCCCTGTCCTCTTTGAAAAGTTTCACAAGAAGGCTAGGCAAGAGCTTTATGAATTGGTCAAGTCTCTTATGAGATGTGGAGTTGTTAGAAAAGCTTAGTGTGTCGTTTGACCAAGAGTTGGCCATTGATATGGTCCCATATTCTTTGATTCCTAATTATGACTAGTTGATATCGACTTATCATTTTATCAACAAAGAGACGACATTGACCCGACTCCACAACTTATTGTAGAATGTTGAATTAAGGATGAAGAATAATCATTTCCCCTTTGCTATAAGTGCTCCTGTCCTGGACATTGGGAAAAACAAATGAAAGAAAAGGAAG